GAGGTATTTTTTTTACAAAAAATAACTCAAAAATCGAATTTTCGAAGTAAAATCAGTGGTCGGTTCTTACAGAGACAGCCTCTTAAATGAAAATATTAAATCAATGAAAAAAATCCCGATAAAGTAATTTGCCTGGGAGCCTTTGCGTTTTTTCAGTATCAGTCACATGACCATGGGCGTGGCCCGATGACGTCATCACTAGTGTTACTGATCATGAAAAAGTTAAAACACATGAAATAACTCTGAACTAACTAAAAATGATGAGGTTATATGAGAATAAATTTTCCTTAGCAACGGCTCGAAAAGATCGGTTAATGGGCCCTTAACCTTCATACATAATTCTTTGTTTGGATAGGTTAAATTATGGCAGCTAAAGGACAGATGTGGACATACTATACGATAATATATATATCTAATTACAAATGGCAGATGTTACATAAAATAGAGAGTAAAACTTTTAACATAAAGAGCTATAGACAAGGAACTCCTCAAATAAGGGAATTAAAAGAATTGAAAATATAAAATCCCTTTTTGATTATCGCAGTTGCTTCTACGTCAAAGGAGAACTAAGTGCTTCAGCATGAGCATTTTAAATACATGTAGCACTTCTTTTTTTTCAGTTGCTCATCCCATAGCCGAGCTCTTGTTCATTATTTGGTTTGCTATGTTCCGCTGCTGTTTGTAATGTTAGCCCTTCCCGTCATTTACTGGAAAGCTTATCAAAAAGGTATGCTTGTATAATCACTGTTTCTTTCTTTTTAATTGAAACCTTGTATGGCCATGAAGCAAATTTACCTACTGACTGATTAGTAAGACTTTGTATGACGTAGATCTGATAGTTGTATTAAATAAATGCTAACAAGCCTGCAGTAATCTATGAAAAACGCTTGACTGCGAACACTCATTTCAGGATAACTGTTAAGGGAACCTAATAATAAGTTAATCAGCAGGAGCAATGTTAGGGTTAGTAAAGTGATTGAAGGAGGAAGAGTAGCTTGGTTTTGTTTCTCCGTTCTTATTGAAATCCTGGAATTTAAGTTATTTTTGCAAACAAGAAGAGTCAGGTACATGCATATGTTTGGAATAGCGCTAAGCAATGTGGTTTAGTAGTTGAAAATTTAAAACGGGGAGAGGCGTGATGATATTAGTGAGAGAGCATAATATAAATTATGTTGTGCGGCATTTGTAGTTATAGAAAGCTAATGTAAAATACAGCATAAACTTCCTGCTTCCTGTGGATTCTTCTACTGAGGCCCAAACATTTTGAAATGCAATTAATTATAATAGAAATTAACGACACAAGAGACTTTCAAAACGTCTTTGCTTTAGCAAATTAGCTCATTGTGCACTATTAGGATTGGAAGGTGCAATGGGCTAATGGTTAGTGCACTAGATCGAGCTGGCCAGGCTCAAGCCCAGCTTACTGGGTCACTGGGTTGTGTTCCTGAGCAAGACGCTTTCCTCTCACAGTGCCTCTCTTGGCAGGTGTGTAAATGGGTAGCGGTGAATTGTTGGGGCAACCTGACAGAATACTGAGGAGCAGCCTGCAATGTACTAGCATCCTATCCTAGGGTAGTAACAATACATAGGTGCCTGTTGTGCACTTTGTAAAACGTGTTGTTAGTAAGTACTAAGTAATTTATTTAAGACGGAATCCACCAGAAGTTCGAGTAACAAGTGGACAAAAACCTAGTACCAAGATTATTTACATCGTATTGCAAACCTCTGTACGACTGTTTTAAATATCTTCTCAAAAAAGATCATTTCTAGCAACACCAAACGTCGAAAACGAATGTTGAACTTCTTATGAAACACTTGAAAGTACTGGTGAAATGAAACTGATGATGAAATTTTGCCTGTGTTTGCACAAGTTCTCTGAACTTTGAAATTCATTTTCTCTCGTTCCCACGGGAAATTGTTTTCGGTGTTATTTCAGGCAATTATTCATGTGTTTACTTTTAAGAAAATGTAAAAATGACGGTAAAATACTTAAGATTATTCTGGTACCAACTTTTTGTCCACTAAAACCTGAAATTGCTCTCTTTTCTATCAGATTTTGTCTTAATGTTGATAACACAGGGAGTGCTTGTGCAATCACCCGAGCCACTCAGAGGCTCGTGCTAAAAGTTGCCAGACAATAATAATGATATGCTAAGAACATCTACAGAGTTAAGAGTAAGTTAGATAATAAAGTGATGCCAAGATTCTAATAATTACTGAAATATATAATACTCAACGTTTCGGTCCTATCGTGACGCCATTATCAGGATAAAATAAGTGTCAGAAGCAAATATTTAAGTAGGCTAGAGCTGAAAATTAACATACTAATTAGATAGCTACAGTATGTTAATTTGCAGCTCTAGCCTACTTAAATATTCCCTTTCTTATAATTATTTTCTCTTGAAAATGGTGTCATGATCATTAAATCCTTCAGTTATTTTTGCAAACTTTGCTTTAGCAAATCTCTTTTGAACAAAAGGTTATAATAATTCAGGTAAATAGATAAGGCTCAAGAAGTATTTGCTGTTTAAAGATTGACAATAATTTTATATGAGCGGGGTTGGGTAAATTATAGATTGCAGAAATTGATTCAAGATTTAGGAGGTGACGTAAGAAAAGGAATTTTGCAGAAACTGATAATTATAAGAATTTTGTATGATATTATGACCGCTGACTCTCAGATGAGATGCGTAACACACAGCAGAGGACAGCAGCAGAGGTGAAAGAGCGAAGAGGAAAGCCACAGTTGCAAGCTTTCAAAAACCCTATGTGAGGCAGAGTTCGTCTGCCTGAACTGCAATCGTATCTCTAAATCACCAATTGCATTTTGGATTGTTTAGCCACAACAAACGTCGCACCCAAGCAACAGTGCTCTAATACACGGGCCTTAAACGGCCTAAGGATGCATACCTCCACCTGTCAGACTGTATGGTGTCATTTGAGGCGCAAGGAAGTTATTTATATTATTTGACACGTGACCAAGTTCGGCAGACATCGCCTGATTAGCTGACTTTATCATCAACTCATTAGTCAAAACGAGGTGCAGCTGATGCTCTCCAATTCCACGTTACTTCCTTGTTGGAGGTCACCCATTATTTCTTGTCTCGGTCAATTGCTGAGAGTAGATTCTTTAGCTCCCCTGACTAGCTTACAAAATTCTCCATTATCACTTTACATCTGCTGCGGCCATCCCCTCTGCACAGTTGTCCGTATGATTACATTGAGAAATGTGTCATTGTCCAAAGACAATGTTCCTTTACATCAAGTGAGCCACAAACTTTGAAAGCCTTGTAGAAGGCTGAGGGATTTATAGCTGTCGTACTTAAGACATAATTAGAGGTTGCTGAAAAACATTAGTTTCCTATTAAAAAATGCATGTTTTGAAATCCAAATTTTGCCCTTACTTGTTAATTGTGAAGATTGAACAACAGTGGTCTACTGTACCATTATCTAAGAAATAATATTAAGAGGTAATGCATTTTGTAACAGGAGTTGAATTTGAAATTTGCAAGTGGTTGCATAACACTTGATCCGAAGCATTGTAAAAAGAATACTTTATTTTTTCAGTGTCACAAAATATCAGAAGGAGTGGCTACTTCACAGATGCTGAGAGAAGTCTGCAAAAGTCTGTTAGGAAAAAGTTTAGTTTAATTGTGTTTGTGTTTGTATTTTGGTGAGTATGTCCTAAATCATATCCGAATGGAATGCTTTATATTTTGCTTACAACACATCATTATAATTAGGATCACTTAGTGCAGTGATCGTCAGTTAGTCGTCAATTGTACCTTGGCGCATGCAATGTTTATTGCACAAGGGCACAATTTTCCACAAGTGAAAACTTTCTAGGTATCCTGTTCATAAATGTCAGCAAGCTGTTGTTATAGCATCATCTATCGTCTAGTCCTCTTTGTCCCATGGGGGTGTGGAGCTCCACAGTTGCCTTCCACCTCTGTCGGTCTTGAGCTGCTCTTTTGGCCTCTGTCAGGTCTTTCTAGATGCTTCTGCACCATGCGATTCTCGGTCTGCCACATTTCCGTGTGCCTTGTGGGTTCCAATCCATCGTGTGGCGCGCTATGTTCCTCTCACCCCGTCTAAGTGTATGAGCAATCCATTGCCAGCGTCTTCTTTTAATGCTGGTGTTGATAGCTATAAATCTCTGTTGGTGATTATCTCAGGCCAATACACCCTCAGAATCCTCCTCAGATACCTGTCGACGAAGGTTTGCACTTTCTTTGTTGATATTTTTATTGCAACAATAACATTGCATTAGGATACAAAAATTGCCTGCACTAGTAACAACAAAAATTACTCACATTGCGTGCGATACTTACTCTACTTACAGTACAAACAAAACCTATGATTTAAGGTTACTTCCCACCTTCGCGGGTGTCCTTCGGGAAAAAATTCGTACGCGCGCCAGTTTTAATAAAACCCCAACAAACTGTAGATCAGAAGAAGGCTTAATAAATGTTATTTACGATAAAACATACAATTTAAAGAGTTTTTCTTTTAGGAAGTGTCTGGAGCTGGTAAGGAGTGAAACGACCGAGGTTTCTTCTATTGAATTTATCGGCTATCGGATGCCGCCACACAAGCAAAACGGCTGCACGGTCTTGTTCATAAGGCATCAGTCAACATTGGTTGTTGGGCTTTTTCGATATTCTGATTGGTTGTCTAGATATCTGCATCTAAGGTTGGAGTAGCTAAAAATATTCAAGACGTGTTGCGTAAATGGACCCCACTAGAGAAATATGTTAAATATCCAAATTTCCCTTCACAATTTCGTTTGTCATTATCCCTGGAATGTTCTAGCGAAATTTCACGAAAATCCGTCAATTCTGCATACCCTATAAATTCGCTCAAAGTGGATGTATTCCTCCCAAAATCAAATGCGAGACTTTAGTTCCTAAAAGTTCGTAAACAACTCACGTTATGCCAGGAGATTATCTCGCCTTATGATATCAATAGAACAACAGGACCTCGTAGCGTCAATGACAATGGATCAGGATTTCCCGGGAAAAGCATCGCATTGCAACACGTTTTCTATCTCGCTCCCGCGTTGAAGGGAAAGACACTTAAACGGGCAAAGTAGCCTAAGGCAAAAGAACAAATGGGTGACATAAACAATACCAAATAACATGAAATACAAGCTCCAAGATGAGCGTTGTTCGCGAAAATTTCCCCTGGCGATTTCGTCCATTTAAGCGATTATGACACCTTCCTGGTTTATCAACTTTATTTGAAAATACGTTTTTTTCGAAATAACCCGGCAGCTTTTTGAGATTTTTTATATTTTTCATTTGTAAACCAGATAAAATGACTTAAATTTTGTGCCCTTGAAGGTGGGACGTAACCTTAACAATACTATCACAACTCACAATAATATACGGATTAAGCCAAGCCCAAAAGCGTAGCTCCTGGGCTGGGTTGTTCAAAGCATGATTAAGCTAACCCAGCATAAGTGAGAATTTTGATGTGAGTTTTTTTTTTTTTTTCAACTTGGCGGTGAGGTTTTCCGTTTATATTGTTTGGCCTTCTGAGTTTGAATAATCTCAAACTACACAAAACATAAGCTATGGAAAACATTTTTATACAAGAAAACCTTATGCTTTGGCTCGCGTTTAATCCTGGGTTAGCATTAACCGGCTCAGTTCCAAACAGCCCGGCCGTGATTACAGTAAGTTAACCTGGTTTGAGCCCGCGATCCAATAATAAAGCCAGTACTTGGTCAGCGGTTAACTTCAAAAAAATACGTGACCTCGATGAGCTCAAAACGTGAGCCCGCCATATGGTCATGTGATACTGGTCTGCGGATACCTTGTTTTTGACAGGTGTCAGTTGACCATAAAATCGAGGTCCAATATCAAAGATATATTTTTTCCCGAGAGAGCATGGTAACGAATCCTGCAATCTGATTGGTTCCTGGCGCGGTCCGGATTTTCCTATCTCTGACCACGGTCACGCTAACAGCGGGAAACAGTGCGGGTGAAAATGTCGTGTTCGTCAATTTTCATGAGTGAACCGGCGGTAATCGTCAGCCTTTTCCCTTTTTAATCAACGCAAGTTTATATCTATTCACTTTTAAATGGCAAGGAAAGTCACTGTAAGTAAATTCAGTTGAGTGTTTTGAAACTTTGCACGAAATTTCACACTGAGAAAACAATTTTGGAGAACTTAACTGGTGAACTAAATGCATCTAATTAACAATTAGACCCGTAGCCCGTCAGGGCTACGGGTCAATAGCCCACGAGGCGAAGCCTCATGGGCTATTGACCCGTGGCCCTTGAGGGCGAAGGGTCTAATTGTTTTAGTGTCGCCCAGCTAGTCCGACAGAAAAGGCAATAATAAAGTTAGCAAATGCAAGTTGAAGAAATATTTATTTGGGAATAGAACGAAAGAAAGCGTCACGCTTGACTGCCCCAATTTCGCTACTCGAAGACTAAATCTAATAGTCCTCTAGTAGCGTAGCCAATTAAAATGTAGGATTTGCATTAGTCCACCAGTTGGGTGTTATTAACATAAAGTAGTTTGGAATAAATCTGTTCTTTAATACACATTTCTTTGTCTAGTATCTGAGTTACTCGCTCGTTCGCTCGGTAGATTTTTTGCGATGGTTTGTAGACGGCACGTAAGCCAATTCAATGACAAAGTTGCGTAACCAAACCCACTTGTAAGCCAATTTACCGCAGGAAAAAATAAATATGTTATTTGCCGGCTTAAGGTCGGTCCGTATAGACCTCGGGCTTGAAAATGCTGCCATCGGCCAGCGGCCTCGGGCAGCATTTTCAAGACCTTGGTCACAGTTTTTTTACTACACGGACCTCCCAGCCGGCAAATAACATATATGTACGCTGTACACCAAGGCCCCATGTCCTATTAGCTGGAGTATGGTCGCCATGTTGTGCGTCGTCATCGTCGTCGTGCATACGCGCCCACGAACAATACCGTTAGCAATTTTTAGCATGAGAAAAGCGATTCATGGGTTTCTATGAGTATGGGACTCCGCTTGGCGCCCCTTCAGACCCCTGGAGCTCCGCTACTCACATTGTTTACAGTAATTGACAATTATTCACCGAAGGCGAAGTGAACTTTGGTGAATATTCACCAATGTTCACTGAGCCTGAGGCGAATAATTGCTTTAGTATAATTTTCAGAGGTGAATATCAAGGCCTACAAAATAACAGGCAAAAACATAAAAACACAGACGCGATTGTTTGTTTGCATACACATACTCAGCCGTAGTTTTAATGATAAACATACATGTACATCTATTGTGAATCAATTTACGCTCATCGAGTTCGGCAGTAAAAGAAACAAGCGAAACACTACGAACAATAAAATCATCCCGTACCTTTGTTTTATCGTTGTTGACTTCGTTCACAGTTGTCGTCATCGTCTCAAAATGAGTAGCTTTAGTTTGAACAAAAAAAAATGGCAATCAATGTAACCACTGCGTTTCATGACGATTCTTAAATGTCTTGAATACGAGTTCTTGAAAAGATTTTTGGTCCAAGGGAGACAGCAGTCATTATGAAAATTCTTCCTCCTTTCAAACGTCCTGGACTCGGAGTGATGTCTTTCGAATAAATGAAAATTTTATTCAGCGACTGTCCACCATGTTTACTTGCCGAGATGGCAAAGGTGGCGAGCTTAGCAACCAAGCTCAGAAATGTCATATTTACCGTCTAGCATGGTACTTGGTCAGCAGTTAACTTAAAAAACACGTGACCTCGATGAGCTCAAAACTTGAGCCCGCAATATGGTCACGTGATACTGGTCAGCAGATACCTTGTTTTGACAGGTGTCAATTGACCATAAAAATAGATGTCCAATATCAAAGATGTACGATGTAAACCAAGGCTGCATGTCCTACAATTAAAGGCCTTAGCAAACACTGGAGACGGCGAGGTGGACGTCAACCAGAAGTAAAATTTCCCGCTCTCGAGCCAATTAGCATAATCACGTGGAGTGTTGCCCGCGTCCTCCAACAGTGGCGACAGCGAGAAAGGTAGGTTTGGCTGCCTCGAGAGACGGTCACTTTCTTTTCTGATTTGTAGCACCTAAAATACACGGAAACTCCTCTATAAAGTCAAAAAATGTTTTTTTGACGCTTATATTTATATTTTATTTGCAAATATTTGATCTTTCTTTTGCTTTACAGCGAAAATCACGCTTCACATTGGAGGTGTGAGTGAAGAAGAAAGATGGCAAGCGAAGCCCGCAGCGAAGGAGAGAAAAGCAAAAGAAATGGGTGAGTTTCCTGGGATTCACGTTGTTCCGAGCGATGTTTACGTCTTGTAGACTTTAAAACTTTAGATTGCAAGTACTTGCTTGTACAAAATGCTATTTTGTTCTTCCGAGTTGTCTCTAGAATTTCGGAGTATTTCCGAAAGGTGAATCGATAGACAGGACCTGTTTTTAATAGGCTTTTTTTTCTCTCTCTCTTCTAGCTCGATCATGGAATGGACAGGAGCACACGATTTGATTCTAGCGAAAGAAGTCAGAGCTTCAGAACCATGGATCTTCAAACTAAGGAATGCAGATCGAGGAAAACTATGGAATGCCATCACGGATAGTCTGAATGACGAAACCTCTTTGAGATTTCAGGTGAAGAAGAAAAACGTACAGGAACATTTCAAACTACTACTGGACAAATTCAAGGCGAAACAAAAACATCAGGCGAAACTGGGTGGAGTTGACATCGAAGATAGCGAGATGGATATCCTGATGGAAGAGATATCAGAAAAATGGGAGGAGGCTGAGGCCTATGACCTTGGTTGCATTAGTAAAGAAAAGGCTGATTCAGATCGAGCGATTGGTGAAGAGATAAGGCGGAAAGCTTGTGAAAAGCTCGGAGAAACGAGTAAACGAAATGCGGAAGAAAAGGCCGAGCCTGTTGCCAAGAAGTCGAGAAGGAGTGGAAGTGAAACTCTTGATTTTCTCAGGGAGAAGGTGGAAGCTCGACAAGCTGAAGCAGAGCGTGAGGCAAAGATGCATCAAGAATTGCTCACCATGATCCAAAACCAGAATGCAGCCATACTACAGATTTTGAATAAAATGGCTGACAAGTGACTGAACAATCCTTTAATATACTTTTTTTCTTGTCTTCTTCATCACAGTTGTTCAGGTTCTAAACTAAGCTTTGACCAGCTTATTTTATTTTGAATGTCATTTAGGGTTGGTCTAATGTTGATGTTTCTAAGTTTAATCTATGCATATGTTTAAAATGGAGGGATTCGTATTGTGTGACAGTTTAGTGGTTTATTTTGTCTATCCCAGAGAATTGTCATTTAATTTTGCAAGCATCAAATCTTCCACTCCCTGCTTCACTGGAATGTAACAGCTGATCCACGAATCATGTCAGAGTAATGTTAAAATATGTTTTATTCCCTTTACATACCCTGTGATAAAAGTGTAAAAATTTTTTTTAATTTTATTTATTTTATTATGTTTGCTTATACTTTACAACACTTCTGCTGTTACTTTACACTAAAACAGTACAATAAAGGCTACATACACTACTTACAAAACAA